TTCTTTTAAGAGATTGCGGTTCGGGCTACCAACGGCCGTAAATTATTTTAAAAAAAATTATTCCACCATTCGTTTTAACGTTCTGACTCTGGCCGTTCTACATTTTGATTTCCTTGGTCTGTCCACCTCTTTTAAAGGTTACGGCTCGGCCTAGCAGTGGCTAAAAATTACTTTGACAAACTCATCCCACCCTCCGTTTTAACTTTCTGACTCTGGCCGTTCCACGTTTTGATTTCCTTGGGCCGCCCACTTGTTTTAAAAATTACGGCCCGGCCTTATAGCTACCGTAATTTGTTACTATTTTTATACCGGAAGCAACCTAGCGCTGGGACTGGAGATCTCCAGAAAATCCTCTTTTGAACGTCCCGCTAATTTCTTACAATCCCTAATTTTGTAGCATAGTTAGGGACAGCTTTTCATGTTTTATGGAATCCTGGTTTGTCCGATTCCTAACGGTATTTTCGAAAATAGGCCCAGTTATATGCTTTTTTCTCTGAATGAAAAACTCGATTTGGTTGATTTTTCTTTTCTTCCTCGTAAAAATCACATGAAAAAGCTCTGACTGTTTTTTTGCAGGCTGCAACTCCCTCACAATCCACTACATTGTTATTACCAAAAACCGAGCAATCTCAACCCCAAGCTCCACATCCTACAGTGGTACTATCAAAATCGGAACAAAAATCGCTCAGGATGGGCCAATCGTCGTTGAATGCACTCGATGGAGGACTTCTGACAGTAACAGCACAGGGAAATATCACTTCGCCACCAAGCGGAAGTGAAGTGATCAAGAGGGATGTTAGTGTTAGGACAAGTTAGTTTTCAGTTTTTCTTTTTTATCCACCAAAATGTCTTATCCGATAAGAGAAAAATTATTATTTTTTGACTGAGAACCTAAATTCATTGATATTTATGATTATTTGAATATTAATTCACATCCTCTGATTCTTCGAACGACGTAACTGGCAACTTCTTCGCTTGCACTGACCCGGTGCTATATCGTCTTATGGTGGGTATGCTGGAGATCCCGAAGTTCGTTTTGTCTCTTTTTTTTTTAAATTATGTTTTTTCCAGCAGTTATGATTTGGTTTATTAAGTTATAATTGTTAAAAAATCCCAAAAAGTATTTGAAAAGTGGGAAAAAAATGCTGACTGCAAGGAAGCATTTCTCTAAAAGTTCTTTTATTAGATGAAATAAAAATTTTTCATTAGACTTCATGTTAATGAAATATGTAGTATTAGAAATATGCCTTTGATGTAAAGCAAAAATTTAATTTTTTTTTGTTCTCAGATGTAGTTATTATTCTGTTTTTTATTCAGTTTTTTTTTTACTCGGGTCAATATATTTGTCTTCTGATGTGAGCGCACTGGCTTCTATAACTTCCCCGTTCTTGTGTGCATTGTTAACATAAATACTTTTTTTTAAATTTTCATATTTTGATAAATTGATGCCATTGATGCAGCTGGCAGTTTCCATTATTCTTAATTTTGGGCCTTCTTTCACTCATGTATTTCTACAGGCTTCATAGAATTTCCAAACGAATCCTTCCAACTTATTGGCGGTTTTCTTTATGTTCTTTTGGCATTGCCTGGCTGCCATTCAGTAATCCGCTTTGTCTGTCTTTTTTCTCTCATTCTTGCCATATGACCAGCCCAACTCCCTTGTAATGTTCAGTGTAAATGC